GTCTTAAGGCTGATGAACCAGGTTTGTACCCAAATAATTTGCGGTGTGTTCTTACAGTCCTGGTGTTGTTAATCTTTCAATGGACATTCTACAGAATGCTTCTGTGTAGCTCTGTTTTCCAGTGTGGAATATCTAACAATGAAACAGCGAAATGAACTCTAGCGGGAACGATTCTGGCGCTGCCCAGGACCTGTGTGGCCTTCATGGAATGTTAGAATGTTGTTGTTATCTTTGTGATTCATACTAAAGATATGAGGCACACAATACGAATGACAATAACAACACAGCAATAATAGCAACAGTTAACATTTAATCAGCACTTAGTAAGTTCCAGGCACTGTTCTAAATGCTTACCTACAGCTGAAGTGCTACAGTAGCTCATTTAGTTCTTAGAACAATCCTGTACTGGGTTATATTGTCATCTCATTTGACAGCTGAGAAGATCAAACAATGTTCTCAAGGTCAACTGGCCAGTGGGTGGCAGAGTCAGAATGCAAACCTAGACAGTCTAACTCTTACCACAAAGCTAAAGCTGCCTAAAAAAGCTTCATTTAAAGAACAATTTATTCATCTTCCTGGAGAGTCCGTGGCTACTACTACATGCTTCCACAAATTCTTATCTAGGCCTTCTTCAGAAATTGGACAGGCCAGGTGCAGTGGCTCACTCCTATAATCCCAGCACTTTGGGAGGCTGACGCTGGCAGATAACTTAAGGTTGCGAGTTCGAGACCAGTCTGGCAAACATGGTGAAACCTCATCTCCACTGAAACACAAAAATTAGTCGGGCATGGTGGCAAGCGCCTGTAATTCCAGCTGCTTGGAAGGCTGAGGCAGGAGAATCGCTTGAATCCAGGAGGCGGAGGTTGCAGTGAGCCAAGGTTGTGCCACTGTACTCCAGCCTGGACAACAGAGAGATATTCTGTCTCAAAACCAAAACCAAAAACAACAACAATAACAAAAAAAAAAAAAAGAGAGAGAGAAAGAAATTGGACAGAGAGCTTTTTCTAATTAGGACAAGCCAGCATCTCCCTCTCTGCCTGGTGATTTCATGAAGCCTGCATAGCAAAAAGCCCTACATACACTATTTTACACAATCAGGTACAACTGCTTTTTCCTATTCCTTTCTCCTTGCTCACAGCAAAGCTGGCTTTAGCTGACAGGTAAGATTTTTTTCCTAAGGCCTTCCAAAATAAGGCAAGAGAGGGGCTGAGCTTCTCCTACCAGCCACCAGTTAGGGTCTACCTTTTCTTTCAGTCATTTTCACTATTTTATGTAGGTTTAAGCCTTTGGGTAGAAATCTATCCCAAAGCAGGCAAGTTCCTGTTCCTGAAATGACTAACTCCTTACACAAGGCAAGAGGCTTGTTAGAACCCTTTCAACTAGAGAGGATGATTAGTTTAAAACAAAACAAAACAAACAAACAAAAACAGGACACAGGACCAAGGACCAAGCTGCTGAGGCTGAAGGAAACCACACAAACAAAAACAATGCACCCATTAGACAGTACTTGTAAGGTATTCAGACCCTGAGAAATTAGTTTGAATGCAGTAGAAAGGCAGATTACAAGAGAGAAAGGGCTCCCAACTAGTTCAAGGGTTTGTTTAGTCTACTTATCAAGCCCAAACTAATCATCTTAATGGCTGTTTATGCCCAGAACAGGGTTCAAATGGCCTTTCAAAGAAAGCAGGGCAGACGCAGGCTGGCAACCTTCCTCTCTCCAAGGACTGCAACCTTCCTCTCTCCAAGGATCCCAGGATTCTCCTTACTGAAGATCCCCACTCTGAGCAGGTAAAACAGTCGGCCATAGTTCTATTTATTTCCTATCATCTTCAAACCAGACTATACGCTCCAAAAAGCAGTGGGGTATCATCTCTGTTGTCCGTTGCTCTATCTAGCTTATAGATCATTTTTGAGATAAAAACTATATATATATATATATATCTCAGAGGGTTAATGAACTGTCTGGAGGGAAAGATGGGGACTCAGACTTAATTTAAGTCCTTGCTTTTCCCCGATGCAGACACCAAAACCTTGTGACTGAGCATCAACAGGTGTCTTCCTCCTGCCAGGAAACTTTCAGAAAATCTTCAAGGTAAGCCAACTATCATTCTACCAGAATCAAGGACACGGATTTCCAAAATTCTAATCCAAAAGGGGGAGTGGGGTGGGGGGAAGATAATCAACAAGGCAATCCTTTTCCAGGCCACCTACTCCTCCTCCTCAAAGCAGCATCAAATGAGAAGCCGGGTGAGGCATGTTAACTGAGAAGCCCTCCTCCAATTAATGTGCTATTGCTCCTTTAAAACCGAGAACAAACGGCACTCCTGATCCCGGAGGCTGCAGAGCAGTAATTGTCACTTAGCCACTTAACTCCCCGCCGCACTGCTCACTCACTCATCGTGGTTTATCTCTCAGCCAATTACTGCTGTCATTTGCGTTTCAATGTGTGCCATCAGGGGCCAGGCCCAGTCGACAGCAGAACAGAAAACACCGGGAGGAGAGCCGACTGGCTTCCAGAGGCGGGTGGAGCCCACACCTCATTCCCTGCTGCTCTGTGGGAGCTTCCAAGGTATTCTCCTATCGCAGAGGCTCCCAAAACAGCTCCACAAGGGACCCAAAACGACCTGCCCACACTCCAGTTTCGTGCTGTGCCTGGCTGTACACCGAGGCAACCAAAAAGAAAAAATTTGAGCCCTAAGTACCAAGTCAATAATAATGATGGTGATATTAAAGCTACACAAATTTTAGCTGCTTAGCATGACAACAGACAAGAGACAAGTAGAGGAAGTGGCAAGGATTCCTGCACCTTATTATTGTGAAATCCACCCAGGGCTAGTCTACAAATGTGAAGACAGGAAAATCTTAGAGGTCTCACTGCTCTTTTATGTGAGCAGATTTCCAGGCACGATGTTGTTCGCCCATCTATAACTTGGCCCCAAAGTGTGAGGAACATATGAATTTTCTTAGACAGTCCTGAGTTGAAATACCTAAAAATTATATTTGCATTCTATTGTCATATTATAGACTGGTGATACATTCTATACTTGGTAACAAAATTTTGTTTTTAAAAAAATTCCTTAAAGGCTCAACCAGGTGTGACTTTTTATAACTAAATCAGAAAAAAGCTTGCCAGACCATGTGCCCAGATTTTTCAGTTCTGCAAAGATATCCTTTCTGGTTGCTCAGTGGATCCTAACCACAAAAGCTAAGACTCATGTTTTGATTTTTTTGGTTGGTTGTTTGTTTTTTGAGACGGAGTCTGGCTCTGTCGCCCAGGCTGGAGTGCAGTGGCGCGATCTCGGCTCACTGCAAGCTCCACCTCCCAGGTTCACGCCATTCTCCTGCCTCAGCCTCCCGAGTAGCTGGGACTACAGGCACCCGCCACCGTGCCTGGCCTTTTTTTTTTTTTTTGTATTTTTAGTAGAGACGAGGTTTCACCGTGTTAGCCAGGATGGTCTCAATCTCCTGACCTTGTGATCCACCCGTCTCGGCCTCCCAAAGTGCTGGCATTACAGGCTTGAGCCACCGCACCCAGCCAAGACTCATGTTTTTAAATAGTTTGTTTACTCTTCCTTCCTGGATCAAATCTATACCATCATGCACTGCATCAGGGCTTTTCTCTCAGAAGGCTGAAACCTCCCGATTGTTAAGGCAGCACCTTGGCTGTATTACCCTAGCCTGAGACTTCCTTTGGAGTGCATTTGGTCTAGCCATCAGGTTGTCCTGCTCACTGTGCAGTAAGCAGCATGATCCCCCTGACATTCCATCTTCTGGAGCCCCAGTAACCACAGGAGGAGGGCCAGCAGCTGAGGCTGAGCCGGAAGAGACCTGTTCTAGCTGGATCTACACAGCCCAGTCTCTGGGTCTAAAATAAAACTCTTCTCTGCCAATGAGCTCTGCCAGGCCTGATGACGTAACAGGTCCCTTCAGTTCTATTTGCAGGCAAGGTCCATGTACATCAGGATTTCATCCAGGTAAGGGGGAATTTGGGAGGGGGAGGGAGTGAGGGACTCTCAGAGAATGGACCTGTCTTCCTATCGTGCATGGAAAAGGTCTAAAAGAGCTGGTGAGGTGCCAAAGTAATTGTACACGTCATCTTGAGCTGTGCAAAGAGGAGCTGGCCTAGCTATAGCTAATTGCTATCCTCCGGCTATATGCTCCCCACTGAATACCAGAGAGGGGAATCTGTTCGGTGCATAACAAAGAAAAATCACAAGTAAAATAAAGCTAAGCAGCAGCTGGCCAATGCTGTGATGCTGCGACCGCCAACCATGGCCAGCCACACGCAGGGAAACTCAGATTTGTCCTCACTCATCTTCTCTCAAGCCTTCTAATTAAGAAAACCTTAAACTTGGAACCAATTTACTCCTTTCTCGCTCTTTTTAAGTCATCACCCTGACCCATCTCTGATGAAGAGAGAGCACTTCAAACGACGGAGAGTAGTTCCTAAGATAGCCGGTGGCCAGCGTGAACTTCCTAATTAAGGACCCACACAAAAGTAACTTTCTCTTCTTCTGGGCTCTTTGTGTTTGTAAAAATGCGGCTTCAAGCTGAACAAACTATTTGATCATCTTCCCACTTCCTTCCTCCTTTCCTCTGTCCGTCTGTCTGTATCATTTCTCAGCTGATCAATAGCTGCCTCTCTGTGTCATGAAGTGTGCAATAAGCTGTTCTTTTTCTTTTGTCTCAATGCCAGAAGACACTGTATGGAAAGACCAGTTCCTCTTCTCCCGCCCTTCTCGCTGTGCTTGGCAGCCCAGTGGAGGTCTGGACGCTTGCCACTGAGTGCCAAGAGCAAAACCCAGGCCAATCATCAGGGCGGATCCAAGCCCCCGACTGCAGCAGAGGTGCCTCTCCCCAGCCAGGCTGCAGCCACCCACAGCCTCGGGGCTGCCCTGACCCTGCCTCAGGCAGGAGCCCCGCCTCCTTCTCAAAGGACGTCACAAAGTACTTGCCCTTGGGGTGCCATACATCTTTCTTTGCTCTCTTTTTTCAGATTCAATTTGCCTGAATAGGAAGAACCTCTCCTTCTTCCTGCCTAATCTATTCCCAGAAATCCCAGCTGCTCTCCCCAACTTTCACAGAGCAAATCGGTAGGCCCACCACTGCCCATGTTGGAGATCACACTGAGCCTCGTCTGGACCCCCCACTGCTTCTGGAGCATCTCCACAGACAGGTTAAATCTGCATATCCAAACCTGAATCTTTCATCTACCTCTCCCACTGGACCCTCAATTGGCAACACCACCCTGCGCTCCAGGCTGAGGGTCAGGTTTAACTGTCCCCTCTTCTCATCTCCTACATCCTCTGCAAGCTTTCTAAATTTTATTTCACACACATGTCTCAAATCCAGCCCCCAGAATCTAGAGATAAGACCACAGCCCTAGTTCAAGCCCAAATCCATCCTCCTCACTGCCCTTCTTGCCCCCTCTTCTTTCCAGGGGGCACCTAACACAGAAGTCTAACTCCATTGCCCTGTGTCCCTCTGCCCTACCCTCCAAGCCCCCCAATAACATCTGAGAACCCATGTTCCTCTCCACTGTCACCCACGCACTCCATGAGGCAGGAACCTGCACTGTTCCTACCCCTGCAGGAAGCTTCCTGCTTTCTGCTCAGGCTCCACCCTCTCCACAGAAAGGCCCCTCCCTCCCCTTCACCCAGCTAATAACTCTGACTTTGTGCAGGGACTCCCGACCTCCAGACTGGGCTAAGTGCTTCATACACATTTCTGTCATTGGATCAAGCTCCTGAAGGACAGGGACTGGGTAATATTTCCCTGTGTAGTCTCAGCGCCCAGTTACACACTGTGGGCTCCTGTTACACACAGCAGGCTCTCAGCAATTGGGATATTGCATTTGTACTTTCAAATTACTAGCTGATGCTCTCTATTACCTACCACAGAGCAATCAATACTTTAGTCTGCCTTAGACCCATTCTGGTGCTACCTATTTAAAGAAGGCAGACTCCCAGATACCAAGGGTTGTGTCTATGGAACATATTTTGTCTACAACTTACGCACTTTGGGGTACTTAATAATGCAGTGGAGTTGAAGATGATGACGGCGACAATGACGTCAACCAGGACAGGAAACGAGATGATTAGACATCCCTTATTCTCCAGGGCTGTGTAGCTGCTTAAAACAGTTCTCGATGAGTCACAGAATGACAGCTCATTTATCTTGAAACTTTAACTAACCAGAATACAGCATGGACCCTCAGTCAGACACACTTCTGAGAAGCCAAAATACATATCAGAAAGTCCACACGCTCATCCACACACAAGTTAAAGAGGTAACTTGTGGAAGGGGTCACCTGGTCTGCATTCAGGGCCTATTTGTTCTTGCTTAACGTTCACCATGATAATCTGCGTGATCTCATTCCTCAGTCACAACAAGTTATTTGACGTAAAATAGGAGAAGAGGCGAGGCAGCAAGAGGCTCCTGGGGACTGACACAGTGGGAGCAGTGCAAAAGAGAACCCTGACAAACTTTAAAAGAACACAAAGTACACAGCAGTGTTGGGACGGCTCATGTTTAGGGACAAGTTCCACACATATTAACAAACCCTAATGACACCATCACACAATAAAGGTACAATATTTACCCTCATGATGATGAGCGAGATAGCAAGAGAGAGTTACGTTCTGTGCAGTATTTTCTACCTGCAGAGAAAAGGAAGTTGAGAGAATATTTTAAGATGATTTCTATCAAGGTGACTTTTTTTTTTAAGGAGTTTTAGCATTTACTGGAGTAGATTGCGTTTATCTGGAAATTTTACTGCTGAGACACCTGACAAATGAGCCATTGCTTAACTTCATCCAGCAGGGAACTATTAGCTAACCGCAGCACAGGCCTTGCCCACCAAGAGTGCACAGCCTAAAACAGCCCAATACCCTGGAGAAAACATTTGTATATTTAGTTTTATTTTAAAACCCAGTGAAACAGGAAATTGTATCTGCCAGAAAACTACCAAATATAGCATGTCCCACACCTCCCCATCCATGCAAAACACAAATGGACGAAGATTTCAATTTAGGGCAAGAGCACAAGAGATGAATCTATTGCAAGGCAGCTTCCACTTGGGAAACGATCATCTTCTTTTGGTCTTGATAACCCACTCTCCTCAGTCTCTCTCTCCTTTCCTCTCTCCCTCCATCTTTCGCTGCCTCATCTCAGCTCCTTCAATGTACAGGAGCTGCTTAAACGAAGGAGAAGACGAAGCCGAGGTTTTGTTTGCTTTGTTACAGTCCCATGGTCATTTCCTTAGTAGGTCAGCAAGTACAACCTAAGTAAATCCAAAGAAGGGAAGGATGAGAGATACTTGGTTATTTTTCACAAAAGATGGGACTTGGAAATGGGTTTTTAAAAGTTGGGAAGTATTAAAGGGAAAATCTTCCCGAAACTGGATATTGAAGAAGGAATGTACTGAAGGAAGACAGAGGGTGAAGAGTGGCCAGAAAAAAAAGAAAAAAAAAAAAAGAAAAAGGTTAATTTTATAAATAATACCAAAGAGTTAAGTGGAGAGAATAATGGGAAAGCAGCTAAAGTTTTGCCACTTATCTGACCATACCTGCAAAACTGGAAATTTCACAACCTCGTCTTCAAGCTTACGTTCCTTCCTGGTGACAAGAGGGAAGTGAAGACTTTTAACCAGATGGGAAAAGTTACCACAATATTTCCAATACTACATTTCCACCAAATATATCCAAACTGGCATAAGACAGAGGCCATGAACCAGCTATCACTGACTGGCTTGACATTTTTGTCAACCTGCCTGTATTAAGAAACTTGTCTTGAAAATAGCATTTTTATTTAAAGCTAAAAGTCTTCAAGTCCTCCACATGTTTTTCTCCACTATGAAGTATTAGAATAGAGAGAATAAGCTATCATTCATTTATTCAGTATTTACTGAACACCTATTAATTATGTGCTCGGTCCAGGGAGTTCTTAAGAGTTCTCACATTATCAAAAACTGGGAGAACTTCTATTTTGCATGTGTGAAGTGTGTTTATTTATACCCAAACAATATTGTGATACTGAACATTTGTAGTTCACCCAAAATATTTGCAGTACGCTCAAAAGGGCAAAGGTTTTTTTAATCCCAGCATACAAACTGCACATCCTTGGGCAAATTATTTCTCTAGACCTTGTTTTCTTCATCTGTGTAATGGGGAACTAGGTTTCATCATTTTTTATGAAGATTAAGTGAAATATCAGCTGGCAAGCACTTAACAGAAGCTGGCACATGGCATTCAAGCAATCATGCATTTAGTAAATATTTACTGAGCACCTCATATATGCCAGGCTCTGTTGTAAACACAGAGCCTCAGCAACCAAAAGGAGAAGCCAGATTCCCCCTTATCCTTCCCATATCATCACCAGGACTTCTCAAGGGCTCTGAAAACCTGTGAAAATGAAACCAAGTGGACACCGTACCAATGCCAAACACCATTAATTTCAATATCTCGTGGCGATCTGCATCAAGGATTGAATTTTCAAGTGAGATTCACGCTGCCCATGAGTCCTGGGCACAAAGGCCATGTGGCTACTGGTCTGCATCAGGCTATTCACCTGGGGACACGAAAGCAGAGCCTTGGAGCCACCCACACCCTGGCCTCCAGGGTTTAGACAGAAATAGAATTTAAGAGACATAGATTGCTGTCTCTCTTGCCTTTTTGCTCTTAAAATGAGAAAGGTGACTTATTTAGAGGTGGGGGAGGGATGCAGCTCTATTCAGAGGAAGTTCCCACATGAACTGCTACATTGTTTCTCTGACTCATTTTTACTTTTCCTCCCCATTCCTTCCCAGCCCTCCCTTGATGTCTTGGTCTGTTCCATCTGTGGTACAATAGGCTCTTTGTTTACAAGATTCTAATGTGCAATAAAATCAGTTATGAGGCCAAGAATAATTTATGCACAAAAAAATAAGGACAGTAAAATTGACATGAATTGTATGTTTTACAGTACTTTTTGATCTGTTACATTCCTGTTGATAGAATTGATAGACACTAGCTAAAAACCTTAAGTGTTCATAAAACTACTCACATTGGAAGTATATCGCACACACACAGACACAGACACACACACATATACGCAAACAACTCAGAAGCAAAACATTTTCAAAAGCCTCAAGCAAAATACTGAGTTCTTAATTTTGTTACTGGCACAAGCATTCACCCAGTCTCACAAGTAAGAAATCTGTAGCTATTTTCTTTTTTTTCCTTTCTTTCTGTCTTTGTTTTTAGAGACAGGGACTCACTCTGCCACCCAGGCTGGAATACAGTGGCACCATCATAGCTCACTGTAGTCTCGAACTCCTGGGTTCCAGCAATCCTCCCACCTGGAGTTATTTTCAGTGGGTAAGGCAAGGTTTCATCAGAAATCATAGACAGTTTGCAGCCAAGCATGCTTGGCTCTGAATCTCAATCCTGTTCAGGCTAGGAAGTTTTTAAACATCTCAAAGCCTCAGTTACTGCATATGAAAAATGGATTTTGGTAAAAATTAGATAAAGGATAAGCAGAATATCTGAACACATTTGGCAACCAGAAAGTTATTTCTCCAACCCCCCTTCCCCAACACACCTCTCAAAACCTTTCTTTTCCATTCTAGCATTCAGTTTCAGCTTTCCTGGACTACTGCCCTCCAACAGGTTTTTCAGCCTTTTATCTACCACTCCTTCAAACCATCCCAAATCTGCTATTAGAAACAGCATTCAAAAATCAGAAATTTGATCATGGCACTCTCTGCCACAAATCATCCTATGGCGATAACATTCAGAACAAATCTGCATTCAGAGCGAAGTCCGCGTGTCCCCAACCCATCTGTTCAGCCTCACCTCCCTCACGACCACCCCACCCCTGCCCTTTGAGTGACCATGGCCCCCACGTTCCAGGCACCCAGTCATTTGGGAGTGGGGCAGGCCATCTGCTCTGGTGCGTGGACTCTCACTGCCCCTCCTCCAGGATGCCAGCCCCACTCCACCAGCTCCCATCTGTAGAGATCGCTGTCTCCTTCAAGGCTCAGCCGCAGTGCCACTTCCTCTCTGCAATGTTTCCGGATTTCCTCTGCTGACTCAAGCCTCCACTCATGTGTCTATGCCTTTCTCAAGTTTATTATTTAAGCTTTTGTTTTCCAGTTATCCATATCTATGAGGGTCCACCCCCCTAGACTCAGTTCCTCCATGACAGAGACCAAATTATATTCATTTTTACAAACAGTCCTCAAGTTTTATCATTCCTTGCAAGAAGAAAATAAAACCAAATAGATAATTCATTGAATTGAAAGGACAGAATGAGGATAGAAGAAACTAAACAATGCCCCTGTGAATAGAGGCATTTCTTAGTGGAAAAACATACATATGTGTGTGTATGTTTGCATAATATAAAAATGGAGCAAGCCATTCCCAAAGTACTTCAAATTCTGGCAAAACTAAGATGCGCTTAAACTGAAGTCTTAGGTGTATTAAAAAAAAAAATTTTTCAAAAACCTCAGCAAACCACAGAGGTATACACCGTATGTGGTAGATTAAAAATGACCACAAATTATTTGATCCTTCTTCCATGGACAGATGTGTCTATTCCACGCCCCCCACTTTCCCACTTTTAAAGGTGAGTTGCCCGTAACTGCTTGGACCAATCAAGTATGGGAGTGAGTTTGAATATGGGAGTGATATTATGCCATTTCCAAACCTAGTGCTTAATATGATTAACAGCTTTGGCCTTGGCCTCTTGGAACCCTGGGCTTCCTTATAAGAAATATGATTACTCTAATAGAGAAATGATATGGAGTGGCTCCGAGGCTCCATGGAGAGGCAGACGGGCCTAGCGGGGAGCTCAGTCTTCCAGACATCCTTGCCAAGGTGCCAGGAAGGCAAGTGAAGCCATATTGGATCCTCCAGACCAGAGCAGCCACTGACTGACTAACAGCGAGGGACCTACATGTAGGGATGCTACATGGAATAGAAGAATCACCCAGCTAGCCCTGCTCAAACAAAATCACAGATATAATCAAATAATGGTTGTTTTACGCCATCAAGTTTTGGTGTGGTTTGCTAGTTAGCAGTAGGTAACTGGAACACAATCTTAATCCCTTTTGGCTCAGCGTCCCACCCTACCTAATAGAATATGTTTCCTCCAAAGGGAGGAAAGTGGCCTTGTGTAGAATAGAGCTCCCAAGTCACTGATGGTCTAGTTGAGGCGATGAGAAACCCACCAGGCTCTTGGACAGTTGCAGTTGTAATGCACATGTGTAATATGTAATACACATTTCTTTAAGATAAGTTCAGTTTACCCACAGCTGTTCTATCTGTCAATAGATATTGGGGCAAATATGGTTAATAACTTCAGAAACAATTTGGTAGAATACTACTCAGGAAGCCAGGAGACCCTCCATTCCAGTCTCTTACCATCCACATCTCTTGTGTATATGAGAAAGAAATGTTTGTGTCTTCATTTGCTTAGCTATCACATGAAGAGAAGCATATGTGATACCTCTTAGATCAGTGTAAATTAGAAATGAAATGAGGTCATGTATTGAAAACACCTTCAGTTCCTTGGCCAAAAAATGCCAGCTAAACTCAAGTTACCATCATTATTTTGCAAATATGTTGTTCTACTATATAAAAGAGCCTAAATTAGTAAATGCAATTCCATGTGCTGGGTCAGCTGAGAATTTTTTTTTTTTTTACATTTGCCAGATTCCCCTTGTTTTGTGTTTCTAGTCAATAAACATCACTAAAATATATGGAGAGTTTAACTAACTTTTGAAAAGAAATAACACAAGTTGGATCCAGAAGAAGTCATCTGGGCCATAAGTTTTTGTCTTCTATGAGCCATCAGCCAGACAAAATGAAGTGGGAAACTTGAAACTTAACATGTATAAATGATTTGTGTTGTTTTGTTTTAATGCTAAGTACTCAGCAAGAAGCTGAGTTATTAGAAAATGGACACTAGCCTGTGCTTGCTTGTGGGCATAAATTCTCCATCTATGAGAAGGCATGAATTGAGGCACTATATTAATTACATTATGTTGTTTATTCTCATACAACTCTCTATTGTAGAAATATTTTCTAGCCCCATCTTCAAGATGGGAAAGGGAAGCCTAGAGAGACTTCATTATTCTCCTGTATTTGCATTTAGCAATTGCTATTGCTGACATAAGAAAATAACACAGGGTGGCTTGAACAACAGAAATTTATTTTCTCACAGTTCTGGAGGCTGGAAGTCCAACATCAAGGTGCCAGCAAGGCTGGTTTCTCCTGAGGCCTCTATCCTTGGCTTGCAGATGGCCGCCTCCTATCTATGTCCTCACACGTGGCCTTTTCTCTGTGCATGCTTATGTCTGATGTCTCTTCCCCTTAAAATGACACCAGTTATACTGGATTAGGGCCCCACCCTTATGACCTCATTTAACCTTAATTATCTCCTTCAAGGCCTGCGCCCTCCAAATACAGTCACATTGAGGATTAGGGTTTCAACCTACGAATTTTGCAGGCACATGAGTCAGTCCCTAAGAACTCTCCAAATCACCAAGCCAGTCAGTCAGAGCCGGGGTACACACCCTGGCTCCCTGCTATTGCCTATGGTCCCCCTGATTACTATACGTGGTGCTTCACCATCCCATCACTGCCTCAGTCTGTGTCCGTAGAAAATGGCCTTGTGTGGTCATCATTACTCATCACCACCAAGTGAAGAGAATGGAGGTCACAGTAAGAAGTAAAGGAAAGAAGGGAAGCTGAAGCTATAGGAAGACAAATGTAAAATCCAGAAAAACTGACACTTAGCAAGGCAGAAAGTGCAGCTCACACCCAAACCTATTCTATGGCCAAGACTCCTCTCGCCGTCCCCATGATGCGGGCTTTGTTGTAACTGCAGGAAACTCCCCGACTCCACTCTCAACGGTGAGGAAGGACTACTGCTTGCTCTCCTATTAGAAGTCACTGGCAGGGCACAACTCAATCACATGCTTTTTGCAAAATTACAAGATAATATACAATTTAATGTTTTCATCATATTTTTGTAACCAAAAAGTTTCAAAGGCCTTGGAGTGCTATATAGCTAATAAATGCAATTAATAAAGATTTTGTGATCAGCTAAAACAGGTTAGATCCCAAAAAGCAAGACATGGTTTTTCTCCCTCTTTCAGATAATGCAGGGAAGCATCTCATATTTACAAAGCACAAGCTTTCAGCTATATTGGATTTTCCTTTTAAAAAGAACAATAATTCAAAGTGGCTTCTAGCAGAGAAATGTTAGGTACATTTAAATGGGTATTTGTGTTCTGAAAATCCTAATTGGAACTCTTTTATTGTTGTTGTTTATGTGTGTGTTTGTTGTGCTTCTGAGAGAGGGCTGAGGTTCTTTTGTGCATTAGAAAGCCTTTCATCTAAAATTCCAGTTTCCTACAAAATTAAACTGGCATATTGGAGATACAACTTTATAGAAAGCACTAAGACAAACTGAAGTATTGTTTTTAAAAGACAGGAAAAATCAAAATGGTTTTTCTATGTGAATCATTCTACAACAAATATGAGACACAGCAGGAAGGATATATCTTGGACCAAGATGACATCCGTGTTGCCCATGACCTGCCGCTTATTACGTCAGCTTCCTGGGGACTGCAAGCTGGTGAAGCCTGACCAGCTAAGCCTAAGGCATTGCTAATGAGGTAAAAATGCTGCATCACCTTCATTTGTGTTGGCTACTACCACATTAAGATCAAAAATGCATTCTCAGCTTCACCAAAGCAGAGACCAAGTTTTGGTTTACAAACCAGCCCATCCTATTGTTCAGGAAATGGCTCAAACAAGGGTATTTCTCCACTATTCTCTCAGTAAAGATACAGTATGTGCACTGTTGTACACATCATATCACTCACTTCTGTTTTTAAATAGAGATGATCATCTGGTATTAAAAATAAATAATAAGGCTGAGTGTGGTGGCTCATGCTTGTAATCCAGCACTTTGGGAGGCCAAGGCGGGAGGATCACTTGAGCCCAGGAGTTCAAGATCAGCCTGGGCAACAAAGAGAAATCCAATGTCTACAAAAAATTTAAAAAATTAGCCAGGCATGGTGGCACATGTCTGTGGTCCCAGCTATTCAGGAGGCTGAGGCAGGAGGATTGCCTAAGCTCAGGAGGTCGAGGCTGCAGTGAGCCCTGTCTCAAAAAAAAAAAAAAAAAATCAATTATATATATATATAACATATGTATATACATGAATGTATATATACATACATATAAATGTTTGTGTGTGTGTATACATATATATAATTTTTTTTTTTTGAGACAGGGTCTTGCTCTGTGACTCAGGCTAGAGTATAGTGGCCCAATCTCAGCTCACTGCAACCTCCACCTCCTGGGTTCAACCTCCATCTCCTGGGCTCAAGTGATCCTCTTACCTCAGCCTGATGAGCAGCCGGTTTTACAGGCACACAACATCATGCCCAGTTCAGTTTTGTGTTTTTCTGTGGAGATGAGGTTTCGCCATACTGCCCAGGCTGCTCTCAAACTCCTGAACTCAAGCGATCCACCCGCCTCGGCCTTCCAAAGTGCTAGGATTACAGACATGAGCCACTGCATCTGGCCATAATATATACATTTTTTTAAGTACCTTAAAGAAAATAATAAAAGGCATCATTATAAAACTTTTTTATTTTTTTTAAACCAAACCAAAGGGATTTAAAATTACATATTTTTAATGTGTATTTTAATAGACTATGAGTGGCACTGTCCTTCATTAATTCAAGGCCTTTCAGCTTTTCTCCCTAAACTTTTTGAGTGGGCACAGAGGATCCAGAGTGTTTATGTAAGGAGTAAAAGAAAGTCCTGATATTTCCACCAGAATCCCCTGCTTAGCAGAAATATGTCCCAGCATCCTTATCCTGAAACTCCCTGACTTAGCTGCCACAAAAAGACCCTCCACGTTCCTCAAAGCCACCACCCCCATCACGTAAACTCAGGCCTGAGAAAATTGTGTCCTATCAAAGAAAAGATGTGCAAAATAAAGTCCTTTTATGCTAGTGCACATTCTTGGATGAAACATCTTATTTGTAACTGCAGAAAAGACATTTTTAAATGGTGATCAAAACAATCATGATACCAGATTTACCCAGCGGTGAATCCAGAAGTTTCATGAGCAACTCGACTATCCTGGTCTTAGTCAGACACTTCATTTTAAGTTCTCATCATGTCTCCTGCTCCTGCTCTACTTTTTCAGAGCTAAACTAAGCCCAGGTAAGTATCAAGGACCCCCACAGACCCTCTTAGTACCTTATGGAATAAATAGTCGGAATTAAACATGAAAAAACCCAAAGGGTCGGCCCATGCTCTGTCTGACAAAACAGGATTATTCCCTACAGGGCATTTTCAGGTTAGATCGCACTCATTTTTCTTGTTTGCAAAGCCTTGTATTGATAAAGTATAATAAACAGCTGCCTGTTTAAATAGTTTCACTGACAAATTAATAAGTGAGCATGTAACTCTGGGAAGCTGCCTGTGGGGGACATGGAGGAAAAAAACAAAATCCTCTTCCCCAGTCTGGTCAGTATACCCATCACACATCAATCAAGTGATGGAGACACTGGCCCGGCCCAGGATAAGGATGCTGGAATCCTGGGATCCTGGTGTGCAATCACCCGATGAAATAACTAGGAGAAAACATTTGTATCCTTAAAAAAATTATAGCTGAATATCAGTTGGCCATAGCTTTCCAAATTCAAAAGAGATTTGAAATGAGCCAGCCTGGTTTTTCTACCTCAGTGGCTCCTAATCCCAGGTTTAGGACTCCTCACTAATAATTCCATCACTCTGCATTATGCTATACACTAGGGGCAGTCATCCCAAAATGAAGGAATCACTCATCGTCTTTATTTCAGGAAATTTATTGGTAAAACTGACTTCAAGGAAAAAAAAAAAAAAAAGAGCCCCTCCTGAGGCATCTAAAAAGATGTGGGGAGAGAAGGCTCAAATTAATTTTCCATTTCCTGGTTTTCCAAAAATCTTTCTCTTTGATTAGACATTCCCTGCTTGGAAGCAAAGGTAGATTGACTAATCCTTCTAATTAGCCCTGGTTGTCACAGAAATACTCTTTTCCTTCTAATTGCTCTCAACTTTCATAAGCCCCCATTCTGGTCAATGGAATTATAACTCTCCCAAGTAAATTTCCTTACATGATACACATGGTAAATTGCTATATGCTGCTAGTGTTAGAAGCACCAATCCAACAGAAGTAGGCATTTGTGTGTGGGCATGTGTGTGCACACCCACAGAGAAGTGACCATAAAAGTCATGAAGAATCTTCCTTATGCAACTGTGACCTTAACTCTGCTTTCTTATTTAAAAAAAAAAAAAAAAAAATCAGTATTTCCAAATACCTCTAAAGTACTAGGACTTAAAATTGTATGTGAATTTATTGCAGCGTGGAGACTGCTGCACACCAATACTCAATTTTATCACCTTTAATGGCTTTAATGTTTACCCTTTTTCTTAATCATTGGTGTTGCAACCACCTGGACTATTTGTAAAGCACTGGCAACCAATCACAGCTTGAAAGCAATTCACTGTTTTTCTTTTCTAGTCTAAAATATGAAGACTTAGCAAAATCCTGAGATTAATTCTGAAGTAAAACTTGTTAATAAACAAGTTAGGTTTAAGAAGAGTGGGGGTTTTTGTTTGTTTGTTTTTTGAGACGGAGTTTCGCTCGTCGCTCAGGCTGGAGTGCAATGGCATAATCTCAGCTCACTGCAACCTCTGCTTCCTGGGTTCAAGCGATTCTCCAGTCTCAGCCTCCTGAGTAGCTGGGATTACAGGCGCCTGCTACCACACCCAGCTAATTTCTGTATTTTCAGTAGAGACAGGGTTTCACCATGTTAGTCAGGCTGGTCTCAAGCTGCTGACCTCAGGTGATCTGCCCACCTTGGCCTCCCAAAGTGCTGGGATTACAGGCATGAGCCACTGCACCCAGCCAAAGAGTGGTGTTTTTATAGAAACAAGAAAATTAAAATGCAGAGAATTTATAAACATTACTGAATGGAGGACCAATCTCCTTAATATATATAAACTACACAATGAAAATATATTGGTCAGTGGTTAATGCAGAGATTAAATTTAAGTCTAGTTTTCAATCAGTTACTTGGGTCTCACAGCTGAAGAACCATCACCATTGAGTCCTTTGAATGTACAAACCTTCCTCATTTTAATGATTTGGATTATTTGTCTAGCACTGATGGGTTACCAGTCTCTTCACCTGTTCTGTCTGATACATCCTCTTATTTAGGGTCTCACAGACTATGGATGAAAAAATGCCTTTTTTTTTTTTTTTTGAGACAGACTCTCACTCTGTCACCCAGGCTGGAGTGCAGTGGTACGATCTTGTCTCACTGCAACCTCTGCCTCTTAAGTTCAAGTGATTCTCCTGCCTCACCCTCCCGAGTAGCTGGGATTACAGGCACCCACCACCACACATGGCTAATTTTTGTGTTTTTAGTAGAGACCGGGTTTCTCCATGTTGGCCAGGCTGATCTTGAACTCCTGACCTCAGATGACCTGCCAGCCTCGCCCTCCCAAAGTGCTGGGATTACTGACATGAGCTGCTGTACCCAGCCGAAAAAAATGCTTCTTTAAGTGAAAAGAACCCTCAGCCTGAGTGATGTAAAAAAAAAAAAAAAAGATGATGATGGGGTGAGCACAAACATATTCTAAGAAAAGGCACTGAGAGAAAAAAAGAAAGAAATGGGGAAAAAAAAATCGAGAGGGAACTACCATGCAAGTTAACAGCCTCTAGCCTGTAAAGACTTAAGAGGAAATAACCACAACCATAATCTTTGAATCCCCAATCACATATATGACAAAAGACATACTGGGCTTGTCTTGCAAACTCTAGAAGATCACTTTATATACCTTTCCCCATCGCCTATCCCTCCCAACCCAAGAGGTATGCACATGTGCACACACACATGTGGGCCACAGTCTCACTGTTCTATGTCTCTACTCATGCTGCCCCTCAGCCTGAAATGCCCTTTCCTCTTCATCTACCTTCAAATTATCCTTTAATAACCTGCTCTACCATGGGCTACTCTTGGGAGCAGGCTGTGCCCTGCTTTGTGCTCCTCAGTGCATATGTCTATTATGGCATTTAAGCTGTCCTGTAGTCATTAAATGCTTCCCTGAGTCTCCAGCAAAACTGTGAGCTCCCTGATGGCAAGGCTGGTCTGTACATTCCTTGAAACCACAAGATCAAAGAAAAACTACATGGTCTGAAGTCAGGCATACCACATTTGGACCTTGGTTTTGTCAAGGTTCTTATCTACGAAATGATAATGGTATATCTACTTTTCAAGATCATTGTGGAGATTAAAAGATTTAATGACCTAGCTAGCACATACTAGGTGCTCAACAAATGTTAGATTCTACTTCCTTCTGATTACCAAGACCAAGCAAAATTCCCCCCATTTAGTATATGTTCAATCCATGTGTGTTGGATTAAACTGAATCTCTCATACTCTGATCGGTTATATCCCATGGGATGTAAGAGTAATCTTTTCACCTACTCTTGTTAAGCTAAATTTGAATACTGAACAATATGCCAAAGAAGATAACTCAAATGAAATGTCAGAAGCTGGGGTCACACTGCCTGACTCAGGGGCCCTACCAGGAAACAACCACTGCCTCATCTGCTGTGCTTGGCTCTGGAAGGAACACACTGCCCAGCCCAGGAATACTTCTTTTTAAACTTCCTGGTCCCTCTTTTTTCTCAAATATAACATAGATATGGAGACATATTTTTCTCCTTATTTATAAGACTGCATGGCTAAATGAGAACTATAAAGCTAGTTTCAACTTGTTGAGACAAAGCACCACACAGTCACACATACAAGTTACACTTACTGTCTCAACATTTGAAGGTTTCAGTTGAAGGCATTTATCAATGTTTAAGAGGGAGGAGACTGAG